TTATGTTCCCTTCATCCAATCGAAATTTTCCGGGTTTATCAGATTTAGACAACCACTCATCTCTAATTTCCTCCGGGCTGCTGCTGCTCTGACCTTTTGAAGGTTTATGAAGTAAAGAGTTTATCTTCCCGCTGGTAAAATATGGTATAAAATTGACACTGTTTATCCATACTGTATATTTTATTCATAACCCTGGAAATGCTCTATCTCATGTGATATCCGTGAATTTCCACTTTTCCTTGTGTGCCTCGTCCGTAAACAGCAACACATTTCAGCTGCAGACTACAAACTACATTCAGCTGACATTATTCCATTTCGCTAAAACCATTACTCTGGCATAAGCATGCAGAATTTCAAGCAGTAGCCCTTTAGGTTTGTCTCTGCAGCTTCCTATTTGACAAAACAAAATGTCAAGTCTGGAGTTTATCTGCGTGCTTCAAGGACGGATTCACTCGTGTGATTTTATTGCATTTAACAGGATTGTAGGCATGTTTGTTAACCATGCATCATTCACTTGGAGAGGAAAGTGTACGTTACATGAGGTTTTTCCATTTGTGTGATTTATGTTGCATCACCCCAAACACTACACTGACCCTAATAACCAATTGACCCAGTGCTGTTTTGCCTTGCCAGGCCATTTCTCTTGCTGTTCAGATGATGCAGATAATTCTGTGCAGCTCAGGGTAAATCATGATATTATTTTGGGGCCCCAACGCAAAACCGATAATGTCCGGACAACACCGGCGACTGTGACGTGAGGCAGGTTGAGCCAGGTTGAGCCAGGTTGAGCCAGGTCTACTGTGACTATCTAAAAAGAACTGCTGTCCACAAGAGGGAACTGTTATCACACCCAGCCTCCCATTCATTTACAGGCAGCACCATCACATGCCTGATCCTGTTAGGCTGCTTTTTAGAGAATAGGAAGAGCTTGCTGAGGAGTGCGGAGGAAGGAAAGAAAGAGAAAAGAGGGGGGCAGTGTACTGTTAGTCGGTGCTCGCAGCTGCCTCAGGTGGCAAAATGGATTCCTCACTCCTGTTCACTCACACAAACACTAGTTGTAAGAAATAGATATTTTTGAGCAACTTCTAGTTTGAAAACCATCACCACACCGATTCTTCTAGTGTCACCTCCCATGTTTTTAAATTACAAAACATTTCTTCACTGTGAGAACATGCAAGGATGACTGTTTGGATCATATTTTGGCTTTTCCCTGCCCCACCCTGATTTATTTGTTTTAGACTTGTGGTTCACATGGGGTCTGGCGTGCAGCAGGGGTCATTCAGAGGATCCCTGATGACGCTGCACATATGGAAAACATTATACAGTTCCCACTTATTTAACTCATTGGAAGTTAATGATGTAAAAGCCTAAAATGATAAATGTAGTGCTAACTTTACTCTGCGCATCACTAATCTGAAATATTCTGACCATAGCTCTATGTAGACATATATGAAATCATTCTGCAACAGATCAGTACATCAGCTTGGTACATTAAACTATTTCAGGTTGAGGTTTTTAAACTGGCGAAGTAACGTTGCACCTATGATGTAGTGGACGTGATGACGTAATCAGGCTATGCTGTACTATGTCAACAAAAATGAATGGGATGTGCTATTAGCAACTCATGTGAACACCAGGGTCTTATTCTATATAAGGTCAATAGTCAGAATATTGGTGTCCACTTAAATTGGTCATTGGAAATTAATTAAATTAATTAATCTGATTAATTTAAATAATTTTGAGTATCAACCCTTGGGAATAAATGGTAAGTGTCCACGCTCCCTCAACACGTGGGGGAGGCTACACTATTAATAGCATTAGTTTAGGTCACCACAGTGAAGGTTTAGCTTATGATTCAGTGCAAATTCACTTTAGCATAGCTGCACACTGTGTCTCTGTCCTCTTCCCACATCCGCACCCTGTCTCGTCGACGCATCCGCAAGAATCTGACATTGATTTTCCTTTTACGCACTAATGCATCACCCTCTGCTCCAAACGTGGAGCCGTGAAAAGTTTAGCAGTCACTTCCTGGTGGAGGACCAGGCTGCTGTAGTCCTACTGTGCTTCCTCCCGGCCATGCTTTTTTTTTTTCGCAGGACAATCCAGGCTCCTCCCTTGCACAACGTCACCCGATCCCGATCTCTCCCAAAGCGATAGTCGGCAGCCAGCAGCTCACTGTGGTGGCAGATCAGCGGGGCAGTGCGCAACGCGGGATAAAGCTACACTGTGCGTTTCATCCAAAGAAAGGAGAGAACAAGGAAAAGAGGGGGACGCATCCCACCATTTCCCAGAGTTATAGCAACTTCACCGGGCCTGGGGGTGTCCTTCTCTGTCCGGCTGCAGCCTGGGAAGAACGGGAACTTAAAGGAACTAAAGGCGGAGCGGTGCCAGCAGATTATCTGTGAGGTGAAGAGAGACTGGCGACATTTCCCCCTGGAGGAACTCCCCAAGTGTTGGAAACTTCCCAGAGCAGCATCGATCGAGGACCTCCCGCCCACTTTACCTCTGTTCCACAGCTCTGGAAGAGGGGGGAGAGAGAGTTGTGCAGCCGCTGCGGTAGATGGAGCAACAAAGGCTGGATGGTTTAAACTAGAATAAGAAACCCAGCTCTCAGCTCTCTCTGCTAAAACACCGTCGCCTCTGCACGGATCTCATTTTCTCGGACCACTTTTTTGGACAAACTCTCCAGCAGCAGCCGGAGGAACCGCAGCCGCAAACGCGAAATTGATGCTTTGGCACCGTGACGCGCACCAGCAATCCTCGAGTTTTGCGAAAGTGCACAGTCGCCGCTGCTGCCGCCGCCGCCGCTGCTGTTAACTGAGGGTGTAGTGGACTTGCTGGGAAGCCGAAGTGGGATTTGCCGAAGTTGCATGCTCGGTCTTTGTCGTCTCGAGTGAGCCCATATCCATCCAACAAGATCCGGATAGTTGAGGTGCCATGGCGATGTGTGCGGGGATATGGATGCTCCTGTTGGCGCTGCGCATTCAGGGTAAGCCGCAGAAATCATCTCAGACATGATCTTCTTCATTTTATCACCACCCCTCTGCCCCAGTGTGTGTTTTGCGTGTGCGTGATATTTTGCACCGTTATTGACTCATGCGTGAATGGGTGGATCGATGTGATTGCCTGCCATGTGCGAATGAGTGTGCGAGAGAATTTGAAAGTGTTTTGGACCCTGCTCCATGTCCACAGAATACTTATTAATGGCTGCAAAGACCGTGAAGTTACCCGGGCTGCAGGCAGATGGCGATGTGTGCGAACCGTGGAGATCTCCATAGTTTTCCAACATCTCATTGTGATGACAACTGGGGCCAGTGATGCTCTCCAATCAGAGCAGAGGTCCTGCAGTCTCTTACTAAAATGTGGTAAATAATTAGAAGTAAATTAGAGTTTTGAAGAAAAGGTCTTTGTAGATCATCTGTTTCATTATGAATGGGAACCACACGCAGTTTTCCCAGGGTGACTCAGAGTAGGATGACATTTGTCTTCGTGAGTGTGTTTGTGTGTCTGTCCACATGTCTTTCTATAGTTATGAGGGACAATTTTGGTTCAAATGCCATCATTAAGAGGACATTTTGACTGGTCCTCACAAATTCAAAGGGCTGTTTGAGGGTTAAGATTTGGTTTTAGGGGAATAATTTGGTTAAATTGAGGTTAGAATAAGTCTCCAGGAAATCAATGTGAAGTCAATGTGAAGTCATGGAGGTGTGTGTGTGTGTGTGTGTGTGTGTGTGTGTGTGTGGTCCAGGTATTATTCATGTTGTTGGGACCTAAGTATGTTTACACAGTCATATTATGGGTACAAAACGCAAGTACCCATAATGCAAATCACTAAATTATAAGGTGGAGACACCCATTGAATGTGTGTGTGAGAGAGAGAGAGAGTTCTGGGTGGAGGATGAGGGAAACATGGGTGATTGATATGAGCAGCTACATTGATCACCTTGACATTAAAGCTTCCCAGAGAGGATCTCCTTAATTAAAAGAAAAACACAATGAATACATGTATTCGACTCTCATTGGACGGATCATTACACCGACAACCTTCCTGTTGGAAAACAAAACAAGCCAATAGCAAACGAGGACGCACATACGCATGTGCCTGTTTGTGATCCATTATGCAGAGGAGGGCTTTTAAAGGCTTAGCTGAAAGTTTACTCGTCTGTTTACATCTTGAACTGGCGATTTCTGTCTGGCGCTCCTTTTCAAAGCGAGGAATGAAAGAGGGTCAAGTGTGGTCAAGAAATGATAGATAGTGTCTAGAATGAAGGCAGAATATATTTGTTCTAGTGATCCGGCTGCAGTGATCCCTTTCTCTCCTAATGAGTCTAAAAAGTCTTTTCTGGTTGAATATTTTCTTTCATCCGAGCTGTTTTTCTTCTTTTCACCTCCTTCGGGCAGGAGAACTACTAAGATACTGACCTTGTTCGCAGCGAGGCTCCTTATGGCGTCATGTGTTTAAGACTGATTGAATACTTTGATCAAAAGCCCTGTCTGATTTACATTGAGATGATCCCTTTGCTTGTGGAGAAGATCAGGATTAACTGGTTCCCTTGGGATTCGTGGTGGAAATCTTTTGATGCTGTTCAGTCAAGGGAGTGGAAAATGTCTCAAAAATTGCTCTTAAAGTGTCCTGGAAATGTCTTATTTGAGTAAAGAAGGAGGTGATTTCTGAGCCTAATTAGACTTCGTACCACATTTTGCTCTTTATTTCTTATTTTATTACCGCGTCGCATATTAAAATTTTAAAAGAAGACATAATTCATTCCCTCAGACATTTTCATGAAGGGAAGGGCTTTGGATAAGTATTATTCCGGCATGTTGTTTGGACCTTTTTTCTTTTGACATGCAAAAACAAGAATTCGGTCTTTCACCCTGAGGTTAAAGGGTGTAGCCATAAATGCCCAGCGTCTTTGATGGTCTAATTGATATACAGCATGTCCCAGACTCTGCCCTCATTACCCAGGCACAAACAAGTGGGAATGGCCCTAACAAATGCAAGTAGCAGCAAACCGCGTTTGCAGTTATCCATCAGGGAAAACCATTTGCTCCTGTCATGGTAATAACCATTTGTAGGAAACACGAGAGTGCCAAATTCGTAAAAATATTCCAAGCTGCTCGCCAAATAGATTATCAAATAAAAGGAACATTGAGAATAATGGACCTGTGAATAATAACAGCAGCTCTGTTCCCTCTCTCTTATATTATCATCCGGTCTCTGCAGGATTCCAGACTGATATTTAATTGAGTATGAATTGAGTTTGCAACCAGGTGGTTGTTTATGGCTTGGCTCCGTCCTCGGGTCCTGTTGCTGTACAAGCCCTTATAGATATCACCCTCAGTGGCGGGATAAGGAGATTTTCCAGCTCTAATTCTCCATCTTAGTTGGATTAAACATTTGGGAAATAAATTCTGAATGGTGCACAAGCATCAACTTTGAATGTATTATTATTATTCTGGCTTGGAAACCGTGTAGCTGTGAATTATAGTGGCTGTAATAACTTGGCATCATGCACGCTAAAATAATTCTGCAGGAGACCCCTGTTGTTCAGCTCCGTCATTCACGTCATGCTGTCTCTCCTATGAGTGTTCTGTTGTATTATCACAGCACAATTTATTTGCGTGTCCCTGTCCTTTAGCTGTCTGATTCTCACGTGACGTCTCCTGAGGGATGTTAACAGTGGGAGATGTTTTCTTGTTTCCTTCTGATCGACAGGTTTATTGTCTCGACTCTTTAGGGTTAATTGCACAGCTCACTACCTGATATCTATGCAAAAGCTTGTCACCGAAGCGCGACACACAGCAGCTCGTTTTGACTCCAGACAAACGGTCACATGCTGCGCTGCTGCGGCGTGTTTTTGTTTTTCATTTGAAGCCTGTTGAAGTCTGCTTTTGTGTATGAAATGTCACCTACCTCAGCTCCGCAGATTGATTGACTGAACGGTCGGGGTTGGGGGGGGGGTTCAAAAAGACTGTTGAAGTATGTGTTTGATGTTGGGCAGTGAAACATGCAGGAGAAATGTTTCACGTGTCATGGAAGTAATACCGCCCCCCCCACCGCCGGAACATTGTAATTAACATTTCGACTTTGCTCATCTTCACTCTCCTTTTGAAGGAAACTGTAATTGCCGTGGCATTTTGTATTTCATTCTGGATGACAGTTGTGATATCGGAGAGAGTCACTGTGGGATTGTTGAGCATTGATGGTTAGTGTGAATGCAAATTGCTCTGATCTTCATTCCCTGGGGGAGTCTCCCTTTGGTCCCTGCTGAGGTGATGGATGGGAGAGAGCGCGCGGGAGTCCTGGGAGACGAGCTTGAGGGGAGCTGACAGGAGATTAAGCTTCTCTTTTGCCATAGGAACTCATGGAGGCACTCGGCCACTCAAACTTCGTCTCTTTGAGCATTTAGCTCATTGTGGTTCTGCTGTCAGCTCTTTAGGAAATCCCTCTGCAAACTCTGCATGAAATGTCTGTAAAGTTTCAGTTTTTTTGTCTGCTGTAATTCTGGAAACGAAATGGCCTTAATTTCAAGTAATTTTTTTCTTTGCAATGGCAAACTGTTTAAATCTAACACTGTAACAGTGGTCGATTCATTCCCAGTTGTCTTTGTAAGCTCCTGATGTATATTTCCAGACCCTGTGGTCTCTGCATGAAGGCTGAAAATCGCAAAAACAGATGAATAAAACATGAAGATAAGCACTGAACCTAAATAATGAAAAGGTTATGACAAAATGGGATGTAGTCTGCGTGCGGAAGACTGCACAAATAGTATTAAAAAGTGAATGAATGTTGAATTAAGTTCCCTTCTCCGATTGTTTGGAGTTTTATATGCAGGATTGGGATTGAATTAATGTTTCAGGGCCTCGAGTGAGAAGCTTACAGCTCTTCTGCATATCTCTGTGATGATGAAATTGTTTGGATCTGATCCCCTAGTCGCTGAATGAAGCTATTTTAGGGAACAGGGAAGTTTAGTCGAATATCACAAGTAATGTTTGTCCCAGACAGCGGCTGTCTAAGGTTACCAGGGAGTTTTCTGTCAGAACATGCAGTTCGGTATCATATGCAGTGTTTGCAGCTTGTTATTGTTTTCATGTACAGTATCTGTCAGATGTCCCCTCCTGTTCCTTCGCCTCGTTCATTCCACAGAGTCATCACACTGGATCAGGATGGAAAACACGTTTATCAAGTTCGCACTCGTTTATCACGCTGCAGCTGTGATGTTATGTTTCAAATCCTTGACGTTCTCTGTTCCAGCCCAAATCGCAGAATCAGCAGAGTAAGGAAAAAGGGAAATCAATAAAGGGGATCAGATCTCGCCCCGAGTTTTCCTGATTTGGCATTAATCTGTCGAGTCATTCTTTCTATTTAGCCGATCCTTTTAAAGGGATTAAATGGTTAAATTCCTGCTTGGCTCTTGAGAATGAAAATGGCATCAACTGACTACACTTGTTCCATATTTTCCTTGGCATTTGTCAGATAGCTGTTCCAGCATCCGAGAGTTGGCTTATTATGGTTCCTGAGTTCATGTAAATCAAGTAAATAATCTCGTATGTTGGAGGGATTCAGACGGTCTGCACTGTTTTTATGTGACATCGTCTTGGCTTGGCAGCAGCTTGTAGAGTTCCGTAGCACTATTTCTCCCTGAGTGCTCAGTTACTATAGTTACTACCTGTAATCAGTCATTTCAGTGAAAATAAACTATATTTATTTCTTTGCAAAAGCTGCATCAGTTTCTATGTTTTTCCAAGTTGTGGTGTGAAGGGAATACAACCTGTTAATGCATCATTTTAATGTTATTTTTTTATGGGTTCATCTTGTATTTTCCACTTTAACTCCTTGCACATTGTGCCCAGGTTTACAACTGGGGCATTCAGTCACAGGCTGATCTGGGATTTAGAGACTGGATAATTCCTGGTCTTTCTCCTAAGGCTGCATGACTTTAAAACAAAGCAGATCTGATCAGTACACCCCCCCCATCCACCCTGTGG